ACTGTTTAACTACTTTTCTAAATATCACAAAACACATTATTACAGTGATAACGGATTCCTTAGTGGAGAGAGCTGCTTTTGATAAATAGCTTCATGCAAGGCCGAATGTAAGGAGGAAAAATTAATCTTCTACCACCTCTAACTTTGGAGGCAATGTGGCACACTAATTTGGGGTTTGGAAGCCTCTGGATCTGGGTCTGGGTGGGGCCCTTCACTCTTTACTTGCTGACCTTGAGTCCTTAGGGCCCCTTGACCAGTCGGTGCTCCGTGCGCTGCCATGACAGTGCAATCACTGGCTATTCCAAAAAGCAGTTGGCTCCATGCCTGACCTAAACACTCCACAACACAGGCCATTGTTATTTCAACTCAAAACTGAGGGACATTATGTGTAAGTATGCTTACCTGCTCATAACTTTCAAGATAATTTTCAAGGAGCATTCAAGGATCTTGAGAGTAAAGAGGCCTTGGAAGTGCCTGATATGACCTCTTATCTGGACAGGGATCCCTTCTTGAGTACCCTTGAGTGCTGGCAAGGGTGGGGATGTATATGACAGAGAGCCTATCTTCTTTTAGGACATCTTTCCTTGTTAGAAACCTGAAAATGGTCTGTAACTCGTGCCCATGTGTCTAAGCTCTGGCCTCTGTAGCAACAGAAGCAAGTCCAGGATCTCACAATCCTTACAATATTGAAGATGCTGTCAGATTCCCATCGGCCATAAAGCCTCTTTCCAGGACTGTGATTTTGTGATTTGTAATAGGAAACACAGATTTGGCCTTCATCCCTGCTCTTGGCCCCACAGCTCCTAAACCCTAGGGGGACTTCCTAAGTCATAAAAGCAATGGGAGCATCTTTTGTTATAACATTTGGTCTTTGGTCCCAGGTCCCATAAGCTCATTCAACCACCCCTGAGTCTATGTTAATGAGGTGATTTCTGGAAAGCTCCTAGGTGACCACGGGAAGGGGGACAGTTGCCAAGGAGAAACAGCCATGCAATCAAAAGGATGGATCTTTCAGCCTCCCCCACCCTGACCTCTGGAGGAGAGAGAGGCTGGAGGTTGACCTAATCACTAATGGTCAATTATTTAATCGATCCTACATAATAAAACCTCCATAAAAAAATCCCAAGTAGGGGTTTAGAGATCCTGAGATCAAGAGTTGCTTGCTTTAATTAAACTTCTGGTTTAATTAACATGTGGAGGTGCTAGGAGGGTGGTATGCCCAGAGAGGACATGGAAGCTCTGGATCCTTCCCCTATGTCCTGCCCCACATGTCTCTTCCATCTATTCTCTGCAATAAATCAACAAGAGTAAGTCAACTGTTTTTCCTGAATTCTGTGAGCCTCTTTGGCAAATTATCAAATCTGAGGAGAGGGTCATGAAAACCACTGACTTAGAGCCAGTTATTCAGAAGCACAGGTGACAACCTGGATTTGTGACTGGTACCTGAAGCAGGGGTGGGGGTAGTCTTGTAAGACTGAGCCCTTCACCTGTGTGGTCTGCACTAATCCAGGTAGATAGTGTCAGAACTGAGTTGTAGGCCACCTAGTTGGTGTGGGAGTATTGCTGACACATCTAGCATCAGAGAAAAGTACCGAGAGTAGAAGGCTGAGTGGAGAGCAGAGAAGAGTTTTCCTCCACAATGATGAACTGCCCCAGGGACTTCAATCATTCCTCACACTTCATGCTCTCCAAACAAGTCATTAAAACAACCTAACCAGAAACTGCACACACAGTGTGGCTTTCCTGGGAGACTCTTCCTGACACTGCTATGATTCTGCACACTTCTGGGATTGCTCATTACCTTATTGCCAGCCTTGATTTTATCCCAAAATGGTATTACCCTAGTTTGAACATCACATTTGCCTTTCAGGGACTCTGAAATGGTTCTAAAAATAAAATCCACCTTGAAATAATGATTTACTGTGCCTGAGGGTATTCATAAGTATATATTGGGAGTTCTTAAAGTAGTAAAATCAAAACCATAAAAAACAACAACACTGTTGGTTAACTTTGAAAACTATCCCAGTGGGGTAGCCTTTCTAATTATGACACAAAACCTGGAAGTCATCATAAGTCTATATAAAAATATAAATTAGTTAAACTTAAATACATAAAAACAGTAAAACTGTGCATTGAAAAAAACACCATAAATTCAAAAAGTAATAAAATGGGAAAAAACTTGCCACACATTCTGTCACAATGACTAATTTCCCTAATGTATAAACATTCTTCTAGTAAGAGAATGACCACAATCTCTCAGAAAAATTGGCACAGGACACGGACAGATGTTTCACAGAAAAAGAAATGCTCTTAGACATACATATGACATGAATTAGGCCAGTGCACAGGAAAATTACCATCTGACGACATGGTCACAATTTAAAACATTCCTGCCTTTGGATCTGGCAATGTCAGCATGGCTCACGTATGGATGTGGTACTGGAAACAACCTGATGCCGGGGGTCCTGTCATCCAGACATATGGATGACACCAGCCACTGGAGGACTGAGGCAGCTCAGTGTGCATCAACCGTGTAGCTGTTCTGAGTGAGAACAGGAAAGTGCAGGACATGTGGGCAGGAGGTGGTGTGTGGGACGTGCTAGAAAGATCTGAGCACATAGATGCACACAGCTTATGTGAAGTGGGGCACACCAGAGGGAACAAAATTCTTACTGTATCTCTAGTTTGACTTTTACATGTTAGGAGGTGCATATGTAGTTACTTCTTTTTTAAAAAACAAAGCCTACTTTATAATCACAAAAGACACAGCAAAATGACTTGCGTACTTTGCTGAACTAAAAATATTCCATGACTTATTTGGTGATCTTTTGGGAAACTTCCAGTTGTTGCCACTTTTTCAGATGTGAGATCACTAACCTATAAATGGACCAAATCAATTTTCACTTTTACCTTCATACACATTTGATCATGGCCTCTAGAAGTTCCTTAAATATTTAACTTATTAGATATTATAGAAGGAAAAGGCTGGGGAAACCCTGCCAAGGCAGGGATGGTGAGGTGCTGGTAGTTGGATTTTCTTGCCCTTTTCAAATGAAGGTTTCCTAGCTGTAGTCCAAATATGGCTTTTTATTTAGGTAAAACACCTTCCCTTCTTTGTCTTTTTCTGCTTATGTCATATGCACACCTCCAGACCTCTGCCCCAGGGTTTAAATTCTGGGGAAACCACTGGGCAGAGGGTGATTAACCTTATCTTGTCAGTGGATTTTGTACTGGGGTCTTCCACCAGCCTTCTGAAGTTGGGCCAGTGACGATCAGACCACAGAATCAGGACACTCAGAAAAGGGGGTAACTGCTCCCCCATCTCCGTGGGCACAGCACTTCAACATCAAAGGTTTTACACTTCGATCCCTCCCTGCCTCCACCCCTGGGGACGAAGGGCTCTTGGAGGTAAGGAGTAAAACTAACCTCCTGTAGCTCTCTGCAGAGCCCTTTCCCCAACACAGGCCTCCACTCATGGGCTCATTCAGCAGTCACATCGGTCCTGGTCCTGCAGTGGCCCTAAGTAGTTGAGGGGCCAGACCCTATGCTCACACCCAGTCTTTGTCTGGCATGCAACCCCTTTCCAGCTGTCCCAGATTAAAGCCAGATCCTCAGAGAACACACTGGAAGCTGGGGCACAGCATCTGCTTGAGAACTCCACACTGCAAGTGGCTGTGGGTCACAGTCCCAGGGAAGAGGGGAGCTCTGCTGGGAAGGCAAGGGGCTCGCCTATAACCACGGGCATGCATGATGGCCTGAGGAAGGCCTCCCTATGCCCTTCTGCTGTTTTCTCCTTATGAGGCACACTGACAAGAGTTAATGTGCCACCTGTCACCCGGCATGGACAGTTCTTTGTTTCAACTATAGTAAACAGGGATCTCAGGGGCTTTTCCACCAGGGGATGAACATTGCTGATGCTCATCTAGAAGAGTGACTGGAGAAGAAACCCTTGTAAACCCTTTATTTTGAGTGGAACACATGAGATTCAGCTTATTCCATATACCATACATTCACTGCAGAACGACTGTGGCCCCAGGGCCTATGTCTCACAGACTTCACATCCCGATGCAAGAGGGCCCAGAGCCAGTGTCCTACAGAGGCCCCAGACAATGGGCATAGCCCTGTACCCCAGCAGAGCCTCAAGAAGGCAGTTCTGGGGACTGCAGTCCACCTGACCCACAGGGGGATGGTGTGTGTCTTCAACACTGCTCAGCTGCAAATGGCTCATGGTAGCAATACATTCACTGGGGCTCAGAACACAGCTGCTACACAAACACCCAGCACCACACAACAGAGATGTCACTCACACAGCACAGCCATAAATATTGTAAGCAGGTCATGCTCACATTCAGACCTCCTCTGAAGAGCTGGGACACACAGAGGTATTTCCCCCAGCCCTCTTCTACTCACAAGGCCAACTTCATCAGCTTGCCCCAAGCCATCCAAGAACCTGAGAAAACAGACCTCTGGATGACCTTGCATGTCCATAACCAAAGAGGAGGCCAATGCATTCAGGTCCGCCCAATTCACTGTCCCAGAGGACATGGTGGTTGCCACTTGGCCCACCCTGAAAGCAGCCAGAACAGCCTATAAAACCTCCCCACCAAGTCTCTGGGGAGAAGGTGGAGGTCCACCCTGGGGATGAGAGGAGGGACCAGACAGGGGCAGGGAGACAAAACAAGACTCCTGTCACAGAAACACGTTACAGTCACCCCAACCCTGCATACAGGGGAGGGATGGGGGATGGTGTGCCTGTGTCATACTAAACTTGACATGTGCCCTTTGCCCTGTCTGGTTTACTGCCCACCTGGGGCTGAGGCAGGAGGAGACACTAGGCCTGGTCACGTTCTAGCCCTCTGCCTGTCCAGGGGCAGGTCTGCAAGGCCAAAGGGAAAGGGGTGGCAGCCCAAGCAGTGGCTTCCTCCCAACACATCAAGGCGTTCCACACAGGTCTGTTCTCATGGAGCCGCTCTGTAAGGATGGCTGGGGCAGCTTGGCCACTATGAGGCTGGATTCTTCTCTCTTCTCAGGGAGTCGATGTAATGAAAAATGGCCCCCAGAGCCCAGCTGGTCTCAACATTGTTGATTTTCCGAGTCAGCTTGAAAACACAAAGGAAGGCGCAGAGTGGGCATGGTTGGGAGGCTGGAAGCAGTACCCCCAGCCCTTGGGGTCATAAAGGGCACAGGAGCACCCAGAGACAGTCTTTACCTTCAGCACTTTGTTCTCTGGGAAGCCAAACTCTTGGAGCAGCAGGCTGATGTAGGTGAGGTCCATGCACAGAAAGGGGTTGCCTGGAGGATGGGTCTCCGCTGTCCTGCACACTGGGGGGTGAGAGAGCCCTTCCCCAATCAGATTCCAAGTGGTTCATTCCTGGGTGGGATGAGGGGGCTCTATGCAGACTAGACTCCACCCACCCCAGGTGCCCACCCTTCACAGGGCTCTATGTTGGCCCCAGGTTCTCACTGATTTAGAAAAGACTGAAGCCCAGAGTGGGAAGGTGATCTGCCAAGAGCACACCAAAGGGTAGGGTCTCAAAGCTAACCAGCCTCCCCCGGGCCTGGCCTCCAAGACCAAGAGGGACTTGTGTGTCTTGTCTTGGTGTCATGGGCCTAAGGTCAAAGTCTCACAGGGCATAGCTCTGCACCCATGACTTCTAGATACCTCTCTCAGGGGTGGATCTGGGCTTTCTGGAGAATGAAAACACCAACAAATCTGGCTCAGAACATTCTACTCTTATTCTCAAGGAGGATGAACAAACCTACCAATAGCCTTCCCAGAATTCTGCTCAGAACCTTTTCCTGTTGAAGAGTCATGACAAACCCCTAAGTGACAAGAAAACTTGAAAAAAAAAAAAAAAGCCACTTTGAAGGGGAAGGGGAGAAAGGACTTTCTATAGAGAAACATATGAAGTTTAACTCTTTTGATCTGCAATTAACAACAACAACCAAAGAGCAGAATATTTACAGACAGCCTTCATTTCACACCCCAGCCAGCTAGATTGAGTGGGATGGACAAAGGAGAAGAGGAAGGGGGACTGCTGGGTCAGCTACCTGCAAACTCAAGGGGAATAGCTCTTCACTCCCTACATGTTGGGCTCTGCTGTGCAGGGGCTGTTGGTGTGACGACTGTGAATTTGCTGGGACAATATCAGGGGAAATCCCTGAACTGCAGTGAAGAGGTGTCAGAAACAGTGAAATCAAGGGAGTCCATTCCTAACAACCTTAGAACTAGAAATATGCCGTATCACAGCCAGGGACACTGAGGCTCCCCTCTCCCCCTGCCGTGGCCACACAGGATGTGGCTGACCTGTGGTCTGGGCCCAGCACAGTGACCCCAAGCACCCTCTCCCACCTCTGAACACTCATCTGCCTGGCTGAATCAGGAACTAAATCCAGAAGTTTTCAGTACTGCCTCACAAGCACCAAGGTACATCTGCCACACAGAGGGACTGGGTCCCTGTCTCCCGCTCTGGGTCTTCTCACCCGGGCAGTGCAGCCATCACTTACCATACTTGGCTGCGATATCAAAGTCTCCCACGACGAGGCTGCCTCCCTTCTCCACATCTGTGGGATAAGACCAAACACCTGGTCTGTACCAGCATCCCTGAAGCAGTGATGCCACCAATGCCCTGAGGCTGGTGCCCATGAGAGGATGATGTAAGGCGGCGTATCCAGGCTGACTACAAGTGGGGCAGTGGCCCTCCCATGCACTGATCATTTGTCCAAAGTGACGTGGCTGGGGGTGGGTAGGTGTTCCATGCAGGACACCACATGGGGATGATTAGCACAATCATGGGACTTAGAGGGTCCCTCAGAGGAAAGGCACCAGGATCCTTGGACCCCAGAGACTGGGCAATCTCTTAATTTTAAGTTAAAAAAAAAATAAAAGGGAAGAATTGGATACATTTTCTCAAGCTGTGGCCCAGAGTTCAGCAATGGTATTCTGGTATCAATTTTATGAATATGGAAAAAAAATTCTATAAAAAAAGTCAAATAGTACTTTGCCAGGTCTTAGATCAAATGGTCAGAGAGACTTTACAGGGCTCTCCAGAAGGGAATGGCCCCAGCCTTCTGTGACATTCCTAGGGAGGGAAGCATGGCAGCTGTGTCTCCCAACTCTCAAGAATGGTGATTGTTTCTTCAACGCACCCCAAAACCTCTACTTTTCAAAGAGGGGCCTTGAGATATCCCACACACTTATGTTTCGTAGGGGGCAGCTGCTCAGTGAGCTGAATTTTCCTTGACTTTGGGCATTTGCTCAGTCAGCAAATGTCACATTGAAGATGGATACCATTTCTGAAAACAGACCTAAGCAGCTCTTTCAGAGCCATGTGTGACCACAAAAGGGAGTTGGAAGAGCTTTTCTGAACAGGCCAGCATCTCCCGAGGTCACTCTGGGAGGTTGTTGGTCCCCTAGGGAAAGGGCAACCTGCAGCCAGTGATAAGGTGATGCTGGGAGGTGTCTCTTCAAGCCAGCCTAGGAGAGTGGAGTCCCCCAGTGTGCTGCCAGGCCAAATTTGTGTGTGGTAGGCCCTGAGCATCGTGATGTCCGCAGCCAGTGGCACAGTCAGGAGAGTGGGGATCAACTAACGTTGCTCCAGGTATAGGGAGCCTGCAGGGGCCCTCAGGCCTGGCAGGTCAAGTGGCCATAGGGCCAGCTACCAGGAGGTAGCTTGTTCTATGCCAGAGAGAGAGACCTGGGGCCTGAGCAAAGGGTGAATAGAGGTCATTTTCCACCTGGACTACCCACCCTTGGGTGGTAGTGTTCCATACTGGTCCCAGGCAGCAGGTGGCTCAGGGAGCCTGGAGACGCCACAGTGCCCATAAGCTCCTGAAGCTGGTCAGTGGGCTGACCCCTCCCCATGCCAGCCTAGGTGCCAGATGGGGAAAGATGGCCATGTCACCAAGGGCTCCCTCAGCTAGAGACCTGGGGGCCAGGCAGGAATGGCTGAGGGTCTGAGTTACACAGGTGCGTCAGTTCTGCCTTAGAGCAGAACAACTCAACAGCAAGTAACTGTTTTTGCACTGACATTGTATTACTAAGTGGCTCAAAAACCTGCTTTATTTTTGAAAAGGGGGCTTACTATTGCCTATACGGATGACAAGACACTTGCCCTCCTGTCTACTTCCAGCTGTGAGGGTCACTGATGACATGATTACTCTCTGCCGTGGGCCCTCTGCACACCTCAGCCCCCCCCTTACCTATGAGGCCAACATTTGCTGCAAGGTCATAATAGTAGGAAAAAGCATAAAAATCCACATCCTTCACTTCTTCTGTTCTATGCACTTTGTTTCGAAGGATTTCCGACACTCTGCTGGCACACAGCTCATGGAGGTTCACTGCTGAGGCAAAGGAGAAGCACAAAGATAGCAGTTTGGGGGCTCAACACCTGGGCCACGCAGCCCCCAGGGCTCTGTCCAGTGATTTGAGGCCCTGACCTGGAGGGTGTGGCAGGGCAAAAAGCCTGCAGGGCACCTACCTTGAGTCAGGGTGCTCATCAACACCACACATATCAACAGCAAACTTTCAGGAGCCACAGCACTGTGGGCCCAGGTCAAGGGAGAGAAACCCAAAGCATGAAGGTGGCCAGAGATGGTGTGGTCCTCAACCCTGAAGGACATCGGCCCTTGGCTCAGCACACACAGCTGTCCTAATGCAGCCCAATGGGTTCAAATTCACACTGTTTACTCTCTGCTAGCCCTTACTGAGCTCTGAACATACAGGCTATCCCATCAGCCACTGTGGAAGTGAGACCTGCACCCTCCTTATGTCACAGATGAGGAAACTGAGGCCTAACAGGCAGCTTGCCAAGCTCACACAGCTGGCAATTAACCCCTTGCTCGGAAGAAGGACAACAGAGAGCCCCAGAGGTTATCAAACGTGGATATCCCATAGCCCACCCCTGGACTCAGCTTCCCATCTCCCCCAACAGACCTGCCCATGGCCTGAAAGCAGCTCCAGCCAGTTCTCCCCTTGTCCTTGTCCGCTGGATCTCATTTCCCTCCACTGTCCCTTGTCAGGATAGCCATACTTCCACTTCCTCATTCCTTAAACATAGCAGCCATCCCAGGGCTTTTATACTTGCTGCTCCTCTGGCCTGGAGAACTGCTGCTTTAGATCATCTGTGTGCCTTATTCTCCATCTCTTTAGGTCTTGGCTCAAACACCACTCCATGAAGCCTTCCCTGGCCATCATATTTAAAACAGTTATCTTCCTCTCAGGTTCCTCCTCCCCACAATCCCTTCTGTTTCTTTCTTCAAGTTACTTTCTTGTTTATCAATTCCTCCCACTGAAATGTCAGCTGTATGCCAGTGGCTGCAACAGGGCCTGACGCATAGGACGTGCATGAGCAGCTGGCTGAGTCGGTGACCTCCATGGTCAATAATAAGAAACATATATTTGGTCTTTGTTCTGGACACAGCTTCTAAAACCCTTGGGATTTCCTGAGGGATGGAGATAAGAGGAAGATCTTCTGTTACTCAGGATAAATCACCCCTTTTTCTCAAGTATACCTGATTTTACGTGAATGAGTGGGCTCTTGTTGGTGGGTCCCTGAGTGGCTTCAGGATGGGAGCTGGTTGTCAGAGGAGCCAACCACGTGATTAGAGGGTTGGAACTTTCAGCCCACCCTTCAAAATTCAGGGAGGGCAGGGGGTTGGGGCTTGAGTTAATCACCAGCAGACAATGATTTAATGACCTATGCCTGTGTAGTGAAGCTTTATACAGCCCTAAACAATAGGTTCCGTGAGCTTCCTGGATGGTGAACACATGAAGGTACTGGGAGGTGGTGTCCCCAAGGAGTGCATGGAGGCTCCACACCCCTTCTCCAACACCCTGTCCTATACATCTCTTCCATTTGGCTGTTCCAGACTTGTGCCTTTTATAATAAAACAGTGATATTATGTAAATTGCCTTCCTGAGTTCTGTGAGCTATTCTGGCAAATTATTTGGGGGTGGTGGTGGTGGTTCGTGGGAACCCCTAATTTGTAGTCAGCTGGTCAGAAGTATAGGAGGCCCAGGACTTGCTATCTGCATCTGAAGCAGAGGGGGCTGAGGGGAGCCTCGCAGGTCTGAGCCCTTAACCTCTGCAGTCTGCACTAACTCCGGGGTGAGTCTGAACAGAATTATTCATGTGTGGAGAACTGGTGGGTGTGGGGAACTCCCTCCCCTCCCCTGCCCACATTTGGTGTCAGAAATGTGAGTAGAAATAGCTCTGTCACCAAAGACAGACAAACCTCATGCCCATTATGTCCAGCCTGGAAACAGTTCAATGTTTCTTTTAGCAAAAACTAAAGGAGCACAGAGCAACCAAAGACCACGTGGGGCAAGAGGGGTCAGGCTGGTGAGACAGCACACCCAATGTCACAGGCTGGGGGGGCTATGCCACCTGGAGCAGCCTCTCCTGTGCTCACCAGGCAGCCTGAGGTGATAGGTGGAGGGAACTGATTCCACTGAAGAAGCCATTTCTCCCTCTTTTCAGAGATAAGCTCACACTGCTACTGGGCCAACAGCCCCACTTGGCCATTTGTCTTAAGAGTGGTAGAATGTTCAGGTCCTTCCTCACTGGAGGCTTGTTAGGAAGTGCAGTCTTTTGGAAGAAAGTATGTGGCGACAGACAAGGGAGCCTTGTGCAGAGACCCCCATGGGAGCCAACAGTTCCCAGTGTGTTCTGGCAAGGGCCTCCTGCAGCCCTGACAGTTCACAGAGGTGCTTCCATTTCATGGGCAAGTGAGGGCTTGTCTGTGAATGAGGCTTGGCAACAGCCTCCCTGCTTCTGAGAGGTATTCAGAAGGTACAGAAGAGAGGGAAGGCTGCGGATCTTAACCCTCATAAACCACTGATGAACAAGAACTCCACCATACCTGCCTTCTGTCCTGAAATTCTGTATGTTATTTCAGCATGTTGCCACTCTCCTGTGAAACCTGGAGACAAACAAGGGCTGACCAACTCCTTTCCATCCTCAGCTGAAATAAAAAGAAAGGCACGTTATCACAGTAAGAATGGGGCACACATGGATTCTCCTGAGAAGAGGCCTATAACACAGAGGATTATAGGCTAGTGAGGGGAAGATTTTTACCTCTCCCTTAACTACCTAAAAGAATTTAGATAGTGTGTCTAGCCCAGAAACAGGGCTGTTACCAGAGATATTTTAATATAAGTGACCTCTGTATGGATGGGCAAACATCTAATAACCAAACCTCTGTTCTTGTGTCCTGTGAATCACCTTCTTCCCTTTTAAAGCCCCCAGGCCCCTGGTCTATTTCTTAGCTCAGGATGACACATAGCCTCAATTGCCCAACTTGTCCTTGGTGTCATATTCTTCTGGGGCTCCCATACATTTGTAATTAAATGTTTTTCTCCTATTAATCTGTCTTATGTCAATTTAATTAATATACTAGCCAGAAGAACCTAGAAGGGCAGGAAAAATTTTTCCTCCCCAACAGTTGGGGAGCCAGCCAGGAAAAACTTCACTGGCTGCAAACTGCCTGTTCTGAGGCTGCTGCAGCTGAGAGATCCTGAGACTTCTGACAGGTGTGGCACAAGGTACGAATTTTGTCAGGCTCCTGAATCTCTGCCTGTAGGGTCCAGTGGAAATGAGTGGTGAAAATCTCCCCCCACCCTACTAAATTTAGATTAGCAGGAGAAAATATTTGTACAAGTTCCTTGGGTATGATGACTCTGGTAAAGATTTATTATTAACACTCTTGACTTTTTTATTGATCCTTTTTGTTGCAGAGATGGTCACTGCTTTTCTCTGGTCTGTCATCATTTGTCATAAGAAGGAAGACCACAGGGTAGAACGCAAGCCTAGGTCCTATAAGCCTGCTGAGTTCACAGTTCCCACCAGGCTAGTGTCTGTTTAGACAAATGTTGCTGTGGGTCAATATGCACATGAGGTAAAGAAGTTGCTAGGGGACATCTTGGAAGCCAAAGCCACAAAACAGGTAGGCATGGGTCAAGCACTTAAAAGCTGTCAGAGTGCTCCCTGTCTAACCCAAAGACTGCTGTGTTAGGATGAGTTAGTCACAAAACAGGCCAGACTGACACTAGGTCACCTGTGAACCTTGAGAAAACTGCCATATGAGGTACTCTGTAAAACACTTCACAATCTCTAACACAGCAACACATCCCTCTCAGGTACAGTTTGGCTGAGACACCAAAGGCTCAGCTAAAGCTGTTAATGTGCCTATAAGGGGCTTTCCTTTCATTTTGTTTATGTATTGAGAGCTTGTCTTTATGACCAGTGAGAATATTCTCTCTGTACACATCACATGCATCTCGGTGGCTAGCTGAGTAGTCTGTGGTTCCGAGACTTTAAGTCACAAGAAGCGCTCTTTGTCTGACCAGGCCAGCTCTCAGGAGAGTTTGTCACAGGGGTCCTGGTCCATATGGGGTTTTTGTCATCTCAACCTTCACTGTTTTGTCAGTGCTGAAAAAGTCCCATTTTAGCAGTGCCTACCTGGTATCTGATTAGCAGGTGTGTGACTGGAGGTGCCTCATGTTCTCATGGGGAACTGGAAAGTGTTTTCATGCCATCATTCTTACTGCTTGCAACAACAAAAGGCTTTACTTTCTTAGACTATTTCTGGGAGTACACTTTCTGGATCTTATAAGGGCCCATCATCTTTTGGGACACTTCTTGTGTTCATGGTTAAGCCATAGAAAGGCTTATTGGTTTGAGTCACTATTGAGATTAATATAAAAATCCTGCTCACCAATGGCCAATGAATCCTTTGAATTGATAATATTTGAAAGAAAGAAAAATATTTTTGAGAGTTCTCAATTATTATCCTAAATAATTGTCTTATTGGTACCTATAGAAAGACCAAGTTAAAAAAACAGACACGAAGAAATGTAACAGCTAAGCTTTAGGGACTCCTTTAATAAGATGGGGCAGGGGGAAGAAAGGAAATTAGACTTAAAACAAAAATGAAAGTCCCCATCCAACATAAATTTCTTGAAATCTGGCCCTGTCTCCTCAGCAAATTCCCTTAACTCCCAAACTCGTTCACCTTCCCCAGAAAATCCCTTAAACACTGAACTGCTTACTTTAGCTTCCCTTTCCCTACAAGATTTACAGAGAGCACTCTGGCCTGATCTCTATGCCCAGGGTATACAAGTTATTCATATAAATACTAAAAGCCAAAAAACAAATTTAACAGTAGCACCCGAGGTAGACAATAAGGCTTAGAGAGAAAGCTCCTTGCTATAATCAGGCTCTGCTAGCTTTAGGCCTTCCTGTGCAATGTCCTTTACAGCTACATTCTAGATTCCCACCCAAATAATTCACATCCCTAGGTAGCAGATTTTTAAAATTGTAAAGCCCTTAAAGGGCCTTAAAAGTCTTGACTTTCATTGGATTCTACCAAATTAAAAGAAAATCCCAGATTAATGTCCATTTACAACCCTACTCATAGCGACCTTGTTTGGGTGCTAAGGGGCATTCTTCCCATCCATGGTTATATTGTAGTTATCAGACAAGCCAGATAGCTCCCTGAAAGCCCCCGCCCCCACCCAAGGAAACAGATGACTAGCATTTCTCCTAGGACCTCCTATAAATGATCAGCTGAAGGCTGATGTTAGGGGCTGATAGGCTTTTCTTCCTAAGATGAAGGTCCAAGGTTGAAATGTGCACCCAGAAAGGAGGCCTTTGTTAAAATACTATATATAGACTTTACAAAGGCATACTGCATTAATCCCGGAAAACATCTGCTGTTTGTCCAGACTGAAAACTGCCAAGATATTTAAAAGATTTTTTTAAATAGCTCTGTGGCTGGAGACCGGCCAGACTGGAAAATGATATTCAGAGACTGATAGGATTTTTTAGGTCTTCTCCCCTAAGCTAAAATGAAACTATGTTCTCAGAGGAAAAGAAAAATCTTCTGAAGCCTCTATAAAAAGTTTTATTACTAAAACACTACAAAGCTCTTATATATATATA